ACAGAATAGCGCGACGGCGCTAGGCGACTTCGCGCGGCGCTAGCGTTTTTCTATCAGGGACCATCTGATGATAAGACAAAATTTCCAAAAAATAGGTTCTGTCCACAATTTTTCAACAAGTAAGCGTTCTTTGAGGTACGTTGATAATATTTACTACACACATTATAATTTCGCTGTGATGTCGACGTCATATATTCTCGATGTAGGGAATATCGTACGTGCGGTTATCCGGACAGCGAAATACCTGGTACGTGCAAAATTACATATACTTATATGTACAAACAAAAACTAAAATAAGTATCTGTGACGATGACGATTCCATACTATTTCCTGTATCTAATAAAAATAAGTATGGTATAATAAATAGCATAAACAGCAAATAATCGTGAATAATAGTAAACTCGGTAGTCAATATATATTCTCGGAAGAGTTTATATGTTAGGTAAATTAGTATTGATTTAGAGGGAAAATTACCAAGCGCTAGAAAATATGTTTAAATGCAAATACAACAGACTTTGAGGATATGGTAGGGCAAAGTCAAGAAACTTTAATGTTTCGTCGCTTTGTCGGAATAATTTATAGATTTTCCAACTATTATGCCATCTTAAATAGGATTCGAACTCATAGAAGGCAGCTACGAGGTGGAGGTCATTATGGAAGCTCCAAAAGGAATGGTGGGTACGTTTAAAGCGATCGCTTGGCTATGGGAGGAGTATCCAAAGGGCTGTACAATGGTTGCGAAGGGCGATATGCTTTCATGCGTTATTCCACAACTCCTACCGAATGCCCCATACACGGTTGCTGTGGAAACTTGCAAGGAGGAAAACGATTGCGTTCTCTACAGTGATTGCGTGGACTTTGTTTGGACAAAGCCTAGTGGTAAGACGTAGTTATACCTAGTTGAACTGCAAAACAATTGTTTGCAGAAAACAAGTTAAGACATCATCAGTTTGTTCACACAAAAATTTAATATTATCAATTGCAAATTTATTAAAAAGATAGATGATTGTGGAAGTTCGGTCCCCGTAAGCACGCGATATGTATATTTCCGAACATACTGTCAGGTCTTCTTTAACGAAATGTGTTATCCTGCATAAATATCCCATATAATGTTCTTGTACTTGCACGTGAATAGCTTAGTAACGCAAAAATCACCTTTAGTCTGTTGTATAGAAATAGAAGCGCTACTGCATAGCGACAACCGGAAAGTGTTTACTCCAGAGAGCCAATGTAAAACAAATAAAAAAAAACCATCTACAAATTTGAAGACAGCGTAAGTAGCAGAATTTAATGGCACCATAAATTTC